GATATTTTAGGAATAACACAAACTGAAACATGAATGGACTATATAATACTGAATTGCCAAGATCAAAATTAACTTTCATACAAGTCTAGTAGATATCAGGTAGTGCACAATTTTTGAATACTTTTCTTCTCAATTAGACCCATAAACTGAATGTTTCTAATGCCTATTAACAAAACTTCAAACATTAGATTGAGGATATTAGATAGATGACTTAACAAAGACGAAAAGGGAAACCTGCATGCACAGACCAGATGCTGTTACTTTTATTTTTATTTGATTCAGTATTAAAGGGTTGGTAAATAATGATTTATAAAGAAATGTTATGTCTTATTGCTATGTGTTCTGACATTCTCGTAATTCAAGAGACTCTCGTACGTTTTCGTTTAGCATAGAATGATGACACATTTTTTGTTTGTTTTTCTGCAACTTTGAAAAACTTCAAGTAGTACTTTGTGGTTGACACCTAGTGTAGGATGGAACTACCTTCCCTAACAACATGCACATAGCAACAGGCCCCCTGGTGTTGATGTTGTAATCCTATTATATCGTCTAGCAACACGCCCTCTGATGGTATTGACGTATAAATGGCGTACATATTAGCGCAATGCCCTCAGCACCTTATACGAGCTTGTCGAAATTGGGTCAAGGTCAGGTTTGTTTACTTCCGCCTCCCAATGGCCATCTTAACTACTGGTAGATTTGTTCTTTTCTTTCAAATAATTCTCTATCAGTAAATATGTAAATATACAAGTATTGAGCGAGCGTACACAGCCTACCGATAAACAAATAAGAAACAAAGGGTACGAAATTGCCTTTACTATTTAGTGGATCTGCCCTTTATAATACTTTAAGCAGAATCACAGTCTCGCAATGTATTTACAATATCTGAAATCTGAGCCTGTGGATTTGCATCCAATTCCTTGCAGAGAACATGGATGATGGATGTCCATAGAAGTTGATAAATTGGGACATTTTCATATCCAACGACTGGCCAATGGACAATGGCAATGCCCTGATCTTCAAGTCATCATTTTGTGACTCGGACTGAATGAGCAATTGGGGAAGGAATATTTAGCAGTTACTGCTTGAAAAATCCAAATTTAAAACTTTGTAAATGTTACATATCAGTGAAAGACCAAACAATGGAAGAAAAAAACGTGCAACTAATACATCTTGTATACTTAGGAAGCTAACAATAGTAGCTAATTAAAATTATTTTAGGATCAATCTAGCTCGAGAAAGAATCCAAATGAATAGAATTAATTCATACGGATAAGATTAACCCCTAAAATAAATAGCAATATGAATAAAGAATAAAACTTTTCAATATTTGGGATTACTTCAGTTCTAATCTTCGTTTTTGTGTAAGTTATTCAATTTGAAGAGGTACTACCAGCAAGTACCTTCCTCACAGATAAAGCTATAACTAGCGTAATACACGTAAACAATTATGGAATAGAAAACGAAATAAAATTGTCTGAAGTTCTGAAAAAAATCATTGATATGAAAAAAACAACGAAGTCTGTATGCTATCCTAAATTACGTGACATCTGCGAAACACAAACCCTTTAGAATACAGAAAGTTTTGAAATGACATCTTTATGTATAAATATCTCCTGTAAATATCGTTTCTCGTAAGATTTTGGTGTGTTTTAATCCAGTTGGCAATGTTGAGCTCTGATATTCAGTAAACTTGCTTGTTTAGAACAACTTACGACACAAATAATGTAACTATCAATGCATTACTTTACATCAGCTGTCCTCGATGGCTCAGCTGTACGCTTACGAACCTTACAATCTAAACTCCAAGGTTCAATTCCCCCGTGATGAACAGAGTATACGTGCCCATTATGTGTCTTTACACTAAAACACACATATCGGGCTGGGTAAGTTGGTACTTCTTTACGCTTTGTACACTAAAACATGTTACCCCCCAAAGTGTTGTCATCAATTCTGTCTTATGTTACTTTACGATGTAGATTAAATGAAATATTATTAAATAAACTTGAGATATGAAAAATATTTTAGTTGGTAATATATATATATATATATAATATTAAATATCCTTCTTTATACAACATATAAACGATACTTGTATTAGTCGTTTGTTATATAACAAGTCATATAATTTAGGGGCCCGGCATGGACAGGTGGTTAGGACGTTCGATTCGCAATCTGAGAGTCGCGGGTTCGAATCCCCGTCCCACCAAACATGCTCGCCCTTTCAGCCGTGGGGGCGCTATAATGTGACGGTCAATCCCACTATTTGTTGGTAAAAGAGTAGCCCAAAAGTTGGCGGTGGGTGGTGATGACTAGCTGCCTTCCCTCTAGTCTTACACTGCTAAATTAGGGACGGCTAGCGCAGATACCCCTCGTGTAGCTTTGCGCGAAATTCAAAACAAACAAATAAATATAATTTAGGAACGCCTTAGCTGGAAGAAGTCTCGATATTACCGGTAATCATTTAAGTAATGTTACTTAAATTATCATTACTCTTCTTAACATTAATTTAAACCGCATGACAAATGATCAGAAGTCTTATTAATAATTCAAATGATATTGCAAATGCTCATCAGTTTAATTATAAGGTAATATCACACTTATCTTAGCTATTAAATATCATGCTCCGCCAGCTTAGTCGTTCCACCATAAAACGTATCTTTGCTTTGATGAGCACGATATAAATCAATCTATTCCAGACATTTTGCATCATCGCCGATAAAAAAGTACGTTTGAGATTAACAACCTTATCTTTTTCTAATATTCTCTTTTCGAGTTGTAATCTTCGTACCTGACGAATCTTTCTTTAAATGTAGGTTGATAGTTTCATATATAACTGTCTTCAAACGAAATGGGAATATAAGTCACTTTTCCGCTACTTTATTGCAGGATATCGTGTATGTGCTATTGAAATCTTAACATACCAGACATTTTCGTAACTGTAAGAGAAATACAAATCTTAACTGCTGTTCAGCATTCCATTTTGTTTGAAGAAAAACCAAAAGGACGCATTCAATCTCAAATCGAAAGTAATGGGTAGCCAGTGCGCATGTCATCTAGCTATCGCTTATATATTTGAAGGGTCGGTCAGTTACTGATTATCCTTTCTTTATTGGCGTTTTTCGTCGTACAACCCAATGATTTTATTCTCAGAAACTTTTCAAATTAATTTTGTTTATTTTGATTGTTTTCTTTCCTGATACAACCTATTCTAGAAACTATGAAAAATGCCATGAATGATCAAAGGTATCGCGTACATTATGATATGTATTTACTTTATGCAATCAACTTAAATGGGTTTTTTTTGCGTAATAACCATGAACAAAGTATTTTTTAATCTAAAAACTTGACATCTTTAATTAGATTTGTTCGTAATTAAGAGCGTATAGTATGTTACAGAGGGTTGAGTATGTTATATCAAAACGATCTTGGAGCCTCACCACGTTGTCACGGTCTAAATCGCCACGTCCTGTCATGTTCTATATGGTGGTCGTGCATCTTGGAAATAGCCATGCAGCGTTGTTCCATCGCAAAAGGCTGTCATATGACATAATGACACGAAAATAGGTTACAGTTATCAAACATATTGAGGATTCCCTCTTGTGTTAGAAATAGTTTTGTGGTTCTGTGTATAATATTATAGTAAAAACAAAAACTTTCTTTCCAAGCTAATTTTGTATAAAAAAATTTAAAATATTAACATATTCTGACTGGAAATTTATTAACTAAACATAAACATTAGGAGTAATAAATATTACTTTTGTCTGGAGGTTTTTTTAAAGTAATATGTTTATAATGAAAATAATAAACAGTGAATAAAGTTTTTAAAATGTTAATATATTCTGAATTGATACTTGATGTAATCAGTATGAGTTCTGGCTCTCAGTTACTTTAAAAGTAATAACGTATGTTAACAAAAACTTAAGATTATTTGTTTTTTATATTCATATATTTATTTGGATTGAGCGCATCCCAGCGGTTAGTGTGCCGACTATGGATTTTAGGTTCTGTGGTTCGTGCCGTGGGTAGCGGTCTAATCCTACTATTCGGACTAACAAAAGTAGCTCAAGATTTCCAGCTAGTCATTCACTTCAAAATTATGGATGACTAGCTTAAGTATCCTTCGTGAACTTTTACTCAAAATTCAATAAATAAATCGTTTTTATTTAAAATATTTATTTTTTGCTTAAAATTCATATTATTCTTGTGTAAATCGTTTATGTTAGCGCTTTAACCTTGTTCATTAGCCTCTGTAATACCAAATCTTATAATCCTTTGTTTGTCATTGTTTTCTACAAGGCTTTTCCTTTACTAATATCTGGTTCATCATTTAGACCCCCCCCCCAGTGGAACAGCGATATGTCTGTGGACTTACAAGACTAGAAACCAAGTTTCGATACCCGTGGTGGGCAGAGCACAGATAGCCCATTGTGTAGCTTTGTGCTAAACTTGAAAGAAACAAAATTATCCAGACACCATGTTGAAATCGTATGATAAAACTACTAAAAGCTCGAGAAAGTGACATGATGATCAGAATTACTGTTTATTGTTTTGTTTGTTTGTTGAATTTCGCATACAGCTACTTGATGGCTATCTGCGGTAGCCGTCCCTAATTTGGTTATGCTATACTAACAAAAAGTGGAATTGACCATCACATTATAATTCTCTCACGGTTGAAAGGGCAAGCATGTTCGATGACGTGATTCGATCCCACGATCCACATATTGCAGGTCGAAATCCCTAACCACAAAGCCTAGAATTATTGATTAGACTTTCATTTGGTCAAGTTAATTATCAGCCTAAAATTATTGACTAAATTGTCACTTGGTCAAGTTAATTATCATTGGTGTTTTATTACGTCTCATGCTATCGAAAAAGTACTTATTGCGTTATCAATTGTATTGTTAAATTGTTTACTTTTAAAGGTGAAGTAATTAAAGAGAAAATAAAATGATGAATAACTTCTTTGCACATACTATTACGATACACCATCATTTTAGGCTTATCGCGTTGGTCTTTATGGGAGAAAGTACCAGTGGATCATTGTCGGAATGTATGATGACTATTGGTGGGAAAAAACTGGTAAAGACACCACTTGCGATCAATCTCGACTTCAAGAAGCTCTAGAAGGTTATATGGCTACCGATGTTTTACCACTAAGCACAGATGAGAAGATCACTGAATCAGGCTTAGTAAGTATTACTGCTAGAGGGCTACAGAAATACAAATATTTTATTTCTAAATACTGACGATAAGATCAGTAGCGTACACAAGGTTAAGTACTATCTTAACAAGGTTGTAGAAATACAAGTATTTTGTTTATAAATATTCCTATTAAAAATCATTGATCCATGTTTGCTGGAGAGTTACACAGCTAATTATAAATATTAATAAATAATTTCCAACCTTAAATTGTAAATAAATTGTTTATAAGAAAAAAAAGGGGCACTGTTGAAATGGGATGTAAGTCAGTGTTTCCACGTTGAACTTATGCTTTTTATACTTTATCAATTTGCAAAACAAGCTCATAGCTATTATTGTAATTTTTTATAAATAGTTGAAAGTAAAACTTGAGTTTCTGAATAACTGAAAACCGAGTCTGAGCTTTATTCCAAGCCAAGACTCTAATTTTCAAATTTCTACTAAACCATCAAGTCCAATAAAACTAAGAAAACTATAACAACGTTGTGAAGCATGAGCTAAAACATTATTTTAATACAAAGGGCTTGGTATTTTTCGACAACTTCTGATCGCCTTTTTCATAGTAATTTATTCGGTTCTTTATAAAAGTTATATAACAGCGCCATCTGGAACTATTTAGCAAGAATATTATACAACCACAATATTTTCTCAACTGGATACTTTTTTCATCTTTTATTGTGTTGCAGTGAGAAAATACTTTTTCATTTTTGGTGTAACTCTGGTCCTTTGTATAGATTTGTCCCCCTGTCAGTCAACAGTGAGTCTACAGACGTACAACGCTAAAATCCTGAGTTTGTTTGCTTCGTTTGACAAACCGCATATAACCCATTTTGAATCCATTTTAGCAACGTTCGAGACTTGATTTATTATTATTTGGCTAGAACGTTTGACCAGTTAGAATGGGCATTGGGCCAAATTCACACGGTTTCATTTCATAAAACCTTATAACTTTGTAAGATATGTGTTTCTGTAATAAATACATCAAACTGTGTGGCTGGAAGGAAGAAGAATATTTAAAGTTATATTACAAAGTGCTGACTAAGTAACTTAAACATATTCTATGATGAAAAAACGACAATAAGCTCCAGGACAAGGTTAAATTTATTTCACTCAAAATTTCGTTCTCACAATTTCTTCAGGAGCGACCTCCTACTTACGCTGATAGACTGAGTAACACGTTATACGTTTTTAAGTTTGTCCTATAGACCAATAGAGAGTAAGGAACAAGTACACAAGCATGGTATTGTTAGAGTGATCGAACACAAAACGTAAAATACCAATTTCTAATGACACGAAAGTAGGTGTGTTACAGTGATCAAACACAAAAACATAAAACATCATTGCCTAATGACACGAAAGTAGGTGTGTTACAGTGATCAAACACAAAAATATAAAACATCATTGTCTAATGGCACGAAAGTAGGTGTGTTACAGTGATCAAACACAAAAACATAAAACATCATTGTCTAATGACACGAAAGTAGGTGTGTTACAGTGATCAAACACAAAAACATAAAACATCATTGCCTAATGACACGAAAGTAGGTGTGTTACAGTGATCAAACAGAAAAACATAAAACATCATTGCCTAATGACACGAAAGTAGGTGTGTTACAGTGATCAAACACAAAAATATAAAACATCATTGTCTAATGACACGAAAGTAGGTGTGTTACAGTGATCAAACACGAAAACATAAAACATCATTGTCGAAACGCCTATTTGGAATTAAATTTTAAAAAAAAGTATTAACTGTAGCAAGGATGTCTATTTGTAGAAGACATTTGTCGGTGCGCCATGTTTTTCTACACAGTGGTCCATAATGACACAAATCTGTCGTGTAATGAAATGATGTTTCTCCAATGTAAAATTCGTTACATATTTCACAAATTATTTTATAAATAACACTTTTTATTGTGCATTTATCACCTACTCCTGCATATTCAGCGAAACATTTCTTTTTTCTTGAAAGCATTATCTGATTTGTATGCAGAACGTATTAATATTTGTTTTAAAGTTCTGTTTATCACAGCAATAGTGAATACTATGGGTCATCACCAAAAGGATATGAATCATTTTGCTATTATCTGGAACTTCTAGAACAATGATTCCGTTTTAATAGTTATTTTCAGTTCGACAAAAGTATTTACAAACAACTAAAAGGGAGTTGCTAGGGGAAACTGAGTTGCGGTAGATTTTGCAATTATAGTACATAATATAAAACGATGCTCTAATTTCATGGTTCCAAAAAGAAGGTATAAAAATCTCTCTTATGGTTAAGGTATAAAAACCTTTGTTGTGGTTAAGGGATATAGATGATATTTTTCCTATTTAGCCTGCCAATTTATACAGAGTGAAAACGTTTCACGGGTATTGAACAGCTTACAAAAACTCTAGAGCACTTGGCAAAAAAAGTGGCCAACTGAGTGTCCTAGATGTTTTTCATGATCATTTCCGAAGTAAACGTATATCAAGTGTATACATAAAGCTTTCTCCTAGACCAGTTTCTACTCTAAGATTCACATCATCCTACTCATATGAAAAAAAAAAAACAGCTGTCACAAAATAAGTCATTAAGATCAACCAAATTTGTAATTCTAAAAAAAGAAAACTCAAGGGACCGGCAGAGCTACAACACATGATCGAATTGAATGGTTACTCAGCTAGTTTTACCTCTGCTTCATAGAGAACTAAAAGGGGAACTTTTACCCTTGCAAACAGGATGACACACATAACTTTGCGACTTGGACTATCATATACATCAGTGACAGACTTAAAATAGACTTACAATTAGTGGTAAGAAGGTCAGATTTACCTATAAAACTTGTGCAAAAACCAGACAGAATCTTAAACAATACTATCCGCGTAACCTTCTTCCTTACCTTCTATTGGTCGACAGAGTAAGTTTAAGTGTATAATAGTCTGTTACTCATTCCGAGTCTACCAGTGTAAGTAGAAGGTCGCTCCTGAAGATATTGTGGAAACGAAACGCTGAGTAAAATAAATATAGTCTTGTTCTGGAGTTTATGGAGAATATCTGAAAAACGTATTTAGGTAAATCTCTAAGAAATGTACTACACGACTAATTCATACACACCACCCCACAACGTTAGTGTTATAAGAAGGAACAATACAGTCTCATTAGATAAGCTACCTATCTTGCGATTTGCCTGAAACGTACAAGGAAGTCAGATGAAATCCTTTTCTATAAATTAATACTCAATAATTAAATTATTATACAAAGAAAATTAATTTCTAGTTTGTTCCTAAAAGCTTGTCTTGTTTTTTCTTTAGATAAAATAGTTTACATCTCTTGAATGAGATGCTTAATTCATCGTTTGTAATCTTTTGATTTCATTCTGTTTTTTTCTCGAACGAGGTACCTGCTGAATACGAAGCCCAGTATGACGGAGCAAGAAAGGGAAGTTACAGCCGATTCCACGGCTATGCTTATGACGGTATCTGGGCAATAGCGCTGGCTATGCAGAAGGTACGGCAGAAGCTTATGTCCGAAGGAAGCTTCAGGAGCTTAGAAATGTTCGAATATAAAGATCCTATGTGGGTTCGCTTGTTTCGAGAGGCCTTTAATAAAACAGCGTTCCTTGGAGTCACAGTAAGAGCGATAGATGAATTAAGAGTTAAAAAGAAAGATAGATAGGTTTACCTCAGTGTGAATAACGTACTATGTAAAGGTAAATCTAGTAATATTTTATTGCCCAAGTATTTTACCTTCAAAATATAAAGAAAAAATAACATCTGGATGATATTTCTTTTATAAATAACGTACACGTGCAAGATGCATGACTGCGATGTTTATTGCCTATAAGTAAAGCACAATAGTCATCTTTATAGCATGATGTGTAGGCAACCACATTGCATACAACTGTCATTATTGTTTCAGTTGAGTGTCAGGCTTGTGATATTCAATCGTTTTGGCCAACTGACATTAATAATCACGCGCTTTAGTGCTGACAATACTTAGTAAGGGTTATGTGTCTTTAAATATCATATTTTAACCTTTTTAGTCATCATAAAGGTTTACTCTCACTTTAGTGCCTAATTTTTGTAAGTTGTATCTTGTTGGCATGATACTTAAAGTGTCTATTAACTCACAATACTTTAGTGGTAAATTTCTTGATGTAGTAACAAAATAGGTTATAACTTTCCGAGACGAAAAATTGTGTAGCACTTATATCTCGACCCTTTTTTTTTTGGCTTTTACTGAGATGCATTAAGTACTCATTAGTACGAATCCTAACATCACGTGATATCGAGAATCTTTAATTAGTTAAGTTGTTCATTAAGCGAAGTTCCTGAGTAATAAATCATAACACTTTCATGCCTAGCAAAATAACATGCATATATAAAATATATTAAGCATGAACAATATTAAGAAATGTGTGAAGGCATCAGTTTATTTCTTCAAAACATTCGTTTTAATCAACAGCTGTTTTAGGAAGCTCAAATTACACTCAATTTAAATCATTTATGCAGAATGTTGTAGCAAATTTCAACATAAGCTAATAATGACTGTACAAAATTCTAAATTTTTTAACTTGGGTTTTCGAACAAGCCTAGCGAGACAGACTAGCAGTTTGTAACTGTTACTATTTTAAATTAATAATAGACGATTTATTATGTTTTTACTTGTTCTATATGACGATATGAAACTAATTTACATTTATGTTAGATACGATAATTAACTTAATCATAAAACGGCTAGACTCCACATTTGTTGATTAGCTGGGAGTTGCTGCTATCATAAATCTAGTGTAATAAGCACTTTATCTAATTATTAAAGCGTGTACATTACAACTTCTGCGTGATAAGTAAGCTTCCGAACACAGAAATATATACACCTTCGATGTATGATGTTCTATCTCAAATATTAGAGTTCTCGCACGTTCTATGATAATTCAACAAACTACATAGATTATTCCGTAACGAAACTGTTTAAAAAGTAACAGAAATTATTTAAACAGTTTAACAGAAAAGCTTTACTGGAATTTCTGTGTTTTTACCATTTCAGGGACCTGTTAGTTTCATCCGAAATGAACGACGTGGACTTGTTCTTCTGAAGCAGTTTCAGAGTAAGCTGTTTTTCACTTAATATAAAAAACACATAAATTATTAATTATATTTTAAATGTATACGTTGTTTATCCACGTACATTTTTATTCACTAGCGTTATCTTATCAACAAAATACGTTCAACATTTGTATTCAAATGCAAAATTTTCAAATAATATATATTTTCTACAACTTAAAATTTAGAACAAAACTCGCAAGGAAATTAAGAAGCAGCAAAAGTTTATTATATATCTTATGACATTTTCAGTAAGTTAGGGGCTGGGTGTGGCTAGTAGTTAGCATACCGGACTCCGAATCCGAGAACCTATGTTTCATCTTTTGCTACACGTGGATGCGTTATAAGAGTTACGGGCAAATCCTACTATTTATTTAGTTGGCGGTGGGTTCTGTTGACTATCTTCTTCCTTGTAGTTTGCCAGTTCTAAATGTGTAGCTTTATACTGGATCTAGAATAATTCTTTTAAGCTCCGTTTCTATTTAAATAACAATCATGGTGATTGTTCATTACTATGCATAAACATTTTCATTACGATTTTCTACAAAACTTTTCACTTTGCAGACTTTGAAATGTTAGATTAATGCATACGAAAGGCTCCTTCTCAAAGCTCATGTTGCTGAATCAGATACGTAAAGATCTGCTGATACTCTATTTAAACGACTTTTGCGGCCATCTCGCTAAACACCTTTCATTTGATGTATAGAATTTCTAGAACTGAACGAAACATGTGATCTTCGTACATGTTATGATACAGCTTGATCTTGCTTATATCATTTCTCTAAATATCTGAAGTTTTACTAAAACTTCTTGTTGAGAGTGTGACGATTTCCTCTTGGTATTTTAATATAATCGTCAACTTGAACAACCAAATCTTGCAAAACCAAAAAATTTAACTGGAAATATTTTTTCATATTTTATGACTAAATATTTAGGGTTTTTTAAGGTTTTTATTTGCGTGAGGAGGGTAATAAAAATTTGATTCTCTTTGTGCCTTTGATTCCAAATACTTTAAAAAGCTTTTACCTATCTTTAATATTTTTAATAAGACTTCTGAGACGAAAGACTATTTTTCTATAGTTAGAAAGAACCTTGTTCATCCGATATTTTATTTACTTTTGTTCTGTCAGTTTCTTATTTTATAGTATGTAAACAACTATTTACAAAACATTGTTTGTTTGTTTTTCATTTAAAACAAGATGAGCAAGTTTCACGGAATTTTGAATGTAAATTTTTAGGTGTTTTATACAATCCAGACAATACAATTTTACTGCCAGGTTGAGCTTTATGTTATTCGTTATTCAACGCAGGCGTTTCTCTATTCAAAGCTCATTTCAAGTTGAATGGATAATAAACTTGCATTGATATCAATATTTTTCCTGATGGCACACATACACACTTCGCACTGCATACTCCTTGATAACGCAAAGGCCACTGGGAAACCCAGTACAATTTTTTTACCATATCTTGCAAATAATTTTGCGTATGTGTGACATTGCAGCTTCTTTTCCCATAATAAAAGTAAATTGCAGCACAAAAAACTCGGTGCTTGATGAATAATAAACATTAGTTACCTTTCGGTCAAAGTTCAACAGTCAGCTACTTGAGAGCAATTTCACCATCTTATTTCATTAATGGAAGCAAAATATATTGTTCTATTACTTACTATAACATCAAATTTTAAAATATGACCTTTATATCTTGAAACGTGAGTTTTGTCTACAAGAGTAAAATGAAGAAATTGTGGTTACCGTAATCTGAATGTATTTATGTGTTTTCTATTACCTTGACGAAAATAACATTCTCTATACACATTTGACTTTGCATTAGTTTGTTATATATCGCTTTTATCTAGCTGTATCTTTGCAAGAAATCCTAATTTAGTATAGCTAACAACAGCATAAAATGTTATAAATTTATTATATTTTTATAGCCACATGTTTGTATGTATTTATGTAAAAATACAAATTTTGTAATTGTAGGTCAACTGATTTTACATCTTGTTAAGCATTAATTGGGTTTATGGCCGAAAGCACTTTTTAACAGTGTAGGTACCTAATGGAAGGCTCTACAAACATTTAGCTATTTTAATTTATTCATTTATTTTCGCGTGTATATTTATGGAGATTGTGTATATACATACGAATATTTAGTAAATGTAAGATATATGTGTGTGTACATTGTGTGTGGTGAGCACATAGGTAGTAATATCGTTGGTGGAAGTTGTGTGTGCTTGTACTGTATTATAAAAAGTTCACATATCTCAACATATTTTGCACTTTAACTGTCGTTTTTTTTAACATGCTAATTTTCAGTATCCTCTACAGGCATTAGAATAAGTTCTTTCTGAAGAGCACTTTTGTTTACATTAATATGAACTTTTCTTTAAGTATTTAGTTATTTAGTATTAAGTATTTAGTTATTTAGTATTAAGTATTTAGTTATTTAGTATTAAGTATTTAGTTATTTAGTATTAAGTATTTAGTTATTTAGTATTAAGTATTTAGTTATTTACTATTAAGTATTTAGTTATTTAGTATTAAGCATTTAGTTATTTGCTATTAAGTATTTAGTTATTTAGTATTAAGCATTTAGTTATTTAGTATTAAGTATTTAGTTATTTATAGAAAATCTGCAACCTTCCTAAATCAGTAATTACAAACAAATGTTCAGACACTTATTTTAAATGATTATGTAATAAAACCTACATTGCATAAAATAATATGTTATTTCTATAACATTTCCGGTATTTGGCATTTCTGTATTTCCTTTACTGATACTCTCAAATAATCTTAAGATTATTTTTATTATAGGTTACAAACACCTTGGATCTAATAACAAAAAGTCAGTGCTCATACTGTAAAATTAAAATATTCCAGAGGGTATACATAGTTTTGTCAGTTGTTTATGAATAGGAACGTTTTATTTGTAAGAGTCTATCTGATGAACTCGGTCTCATGTAAATGAGTAGATGTATCTGAAGCATCAGATTTAACTGTTTTTAATTTGTTTTACGTACGCCAGGAGGGGCTGAAGTGAAAATTGGTGAATATGATTCTATCGCCGACACACTGGAATTAAGTAAAGGAACAACTATTACATGGAGAGGTAAGACAAACCTTGTGTCCAATTTATGATGAACTTACGAAAAAAATCATTTTGGACATGAATTTAAAACCATTCATAATAATATTAATTTTTTCTTTACAGCTGTATCAGCTTTTCAAGTGGCCTACCAAGGGTCAGAATGGTTCTGAGAGAAGATTTTCTTGACAATCCCCCTCTCCCAACCCCACCTTAATTCAGTAAACCTTCCTCTCCCGATTTCAAACATGCAATAGTTTCCTTTGTGTTATTATCTGGACATTCCTCTGACACCGAAGTATCTAACATAAAAATAATTCTTCAACAATAAATAATACATAATTTTAGAATAACTGAACTCCATTTATGATTACTTGAAAGTGAACTTTCGTACTTTCTCGAAAGCAACTTGAGTTAGGCTGTAGGAGATAAGCGCTGCGTTTTTCAGTTCTTAGCATCATTGGGATCATTCCTAAATCCGAAAACAATAGTGCCAAAGCTTCGTTTTTAGATTCATAACGTGGATAACTCAATCGGATCGTAACTTCGCAACCAGTATTTGCTGAACAAGCTTTCAACTCCTCTTTTTAACGGTACTTTCTTGTATGAGTATACAATAAAATCAATATTGTTGGACTGGACATTTCATAAGTATTTCCATTTATTTTAATACTGTATAGCAAATTGTACCTCAATACTGCTTTAATGACAAATGATATTTTATTATTTTTATAAACATGCTAATCATGTGCACTCACTTTAGCATTTCTAAACTTTACTCTTACATGTGCAAAAAATTGTTAGATAAAAAGAAACTACGAACTAGGAATGGGAGCACCAAAAAGTAAAGAAACAAGGTAGGAATGGGCGGGTTAACATTAAACACTTGGTGGTTTTTGACACGGTACAACCTCAGAGTAGGTGGGGCCAACATTCCGCCCATTTTTACTTCGGGTACTTTTTATAACTTAGTCATTGTTCAAACTAAATGAAATGTGTGTATATAGCTAAGTTTTCTGTAGCAACCAAGTACAGATACATGTATGTAATCAAATTACGTGACCCTCACGAAATGCATGACATCATTAGAGGGTGTTTGATGTCGGAAGTGAGACATAGTCATACTTTATGGGAGACATTATAGCTATCTGACTTAGTAAGGAATGGGCCAAAAGAATAGTATGAAAACCACTAAACTTGGAGTTTTTAAATTTGTTGAGTATTTAGAAAGGATTAGCTACTAAAATAACTCAGTTCACGTTTATAATTGGATCAAAATTCAAAATAAAACATGAAGTATGAATGGAAGGAACGATGGCCATATCCACCTTGAGGTTGCACTGTGTAAAAAATCACCAAATATTGTAACGTTATCCCACCCATTACTACCTTGTTTCTTTACTTTTCGGTGCTCCCATTCCTACTTCCTATTTTTTTAAACTAGTCTCATAGCTTTTTTTTTGGTACTAAGTATCAAGAGTGACTGTACTCTAGGCCTATTCTTCTCGTAGTTTTTCTTGGTGCTAAGTCTCGAGAGTGACTGGGCTCTAGGCCTATCCTCCTCGTAGCTTTTCTTAGAGCTATTCTTTGCTATAGTTTTTCTTCCAACTAGCCAGGGTAGCAGCCTTTTTTGGGGGCTGTATTAATGGTGTGTTTCGCATTTTCAACATTACTGTTTCTAACCTTGTCTCTATTCTTGCAGTAATGCTTTACTTCGCTGGGAAAAAGACTTTTCAAGGTTATCAATATAAAATTTCTCCTTTTCTCTCGTTTTGTTTCCTTGCAATGTATATTTTAAAAATCGCACAGTTTCAAGTACAACCTTAGATGCGATTAGGTCACACTAAGTTTGAAAACAATACAAAGATAAATTATACAACTTATCGTTCTTGTTTTCAGTCCAGAGCGCTTGAGCAAAGCCGTGTCAGATTTCTCCAGTTGTAGCGTTCGTCCTTGTGTAGGAGACTCACGTCTTAGGCGCCGACTGCTGTTTTATTATAATAAATTAGAATTGCTCTCTCCAACATAGAACTCTCGAGTGAGATGTATAGAAATGAAAACTTCGCTTTCAAAGATTAGATCGTAGTTAGAACCTAGATCTAGAGAATCTACGTTGTCCAAGTTTTTCCTTATCTAGCTGATACAGCTGCAGGCTGATCACCTGCCTACGCATAATCATAGAATACGGTTACTAGTGTATTGTTTGCTCGTTAGTAATGTTGCAAAATGATTACTGTTATTACCAAGGTTATAGACCCCAGTGGCACAGCGGTATGTCTCCGGACTTACAACGCTAGATACTCATGGTGGGCAAAGCACAGATAGTCCATTGTGTAGCTTTTTGTTTAACTACAACCAAATCAAGGTTATAAATAAAACTAAGAAAGACGCTTTTAGCCAAAGTAGCGTAATTCAATCATGTGCATTTAGATTTGCATAAGGTGAAGGCAGGAGAGAGCTATGCCTTTCCAACAACGTTAGTCAGTCAATCAGATTAACAAATTCGTGGTTTTGTAAAATATTTGTTTTTACTCTACCGACTTTCTCAAGTGCTTTGGTGGCGTGTTACTCTGCAGTTGGTTTGTTTACTATTAAACAGTGTGTGTAAAGAGCTTATAAAGTTTTTTTTTACATACTGTTTGCAATGTGTATAAGATTTTGATTTGTATTGCACATCTGGCTTATTCCTATTATAAGTACTACCCTACTTATGCTTGTGCAATAGCTTGCATAAAGATGGCTCTACTGGTATTGGTATTTTCAACACAAATGACACCTCATGTACACATTGGTTTAATGTCCAGGGAAACCCCATAGGGTTCAGGTACAGCCGTCCAAAGTTTTGAACTAGTGGTCATAGGAGAGGCAGTCAGTCAGCAGCACCTGTCATTACAAGAGCTTCGTCCGGCTGTGAATCAGGTACCAGGTTTGACTACCACTCTTATAACACAACTAGAGTAGAAAGTTTGAAGCATTTTGATCGGAATCTCGACACGAACCACCGAACTTCCGATTTGCAGCGCAGCACACTAAAACCTAGGTCACAACCGTCCCTAAATCGGCTCCAAGAGAAAAATTGAAAGCTTGCTAATAAAGTATTTAACTTGGAGATAAAATCCCGATTGTTTTATCACTATTTGATATCATCGCGTAGCCCTATTTTATTTTTGTTGTATATATATATTTTTTCCTTTTCGTTGCAAAACTTGTATAATTTTCAGTGGGCATTTCGGACCTCGTGCGTATGAAGACTGGGCAACGGGCCCCACCTAACCCTGACCCACTGAGCTTTGCCCTCTTTTTATAAAGTTTAACTCTCTTCTACCTCTCCAGTATATACTCGTGTATCCGAATACCTATTATTTTTCTCACAGTTGCCTTTTTGATTCTTTCTCTATTATTTCATATTTACTTTGTATGTTTTTCATGATATTGAAAGCTTTATAGTATAGACTTTTTTTCTCGTCTCCGTTTATACAGAATGTTGTACACAGTAAACTTCTGGGGGCTCTGATTTTGGTAGCATGAATCACCATTAGTTAAGTAAAAAATAACATACAATTAGTTAATGTACGTTTACTAAACATTTGCGGTAAGATTTATACTTTTACTAGTTCCTAATATTTTATATTTTCTCTCAGGCTTATATTTATAAAGTTAAATGAAACATATAAAAATGCCATATCAAACAATAATAATTTTTTTAAGGAAAACATTACAAATAAGAAAATAAATTGTAATGAAATCTTACTGAATACTGTACAAAGCTCCACACCGTGGGTGAAATGTGCTAATCTTTACTTCAGTGCGGAGTATTTTCCCCTTCATTTAGCTAAGCTAGAGATCAATTTAAACACATCATTATAAATCAGCACAGCGTTGTTAACTTATTAAAACTAGAATCGCAAACAGTGGCTCAGGGTATAACGCTAAAATTCGGGGCTCGATTTCCGGTTGTGAACACAACGCATATAGTTAGCGTATAGTTTTTCGCTTACTATTAAATGAGTTTAACACAAACAGTAAAATTATACCGTTGAAAACAATTAAAGAATAATCGGAATTTATAATATGATAGCTACAACAAGGCAAAATAATTATTATAAAATAAAAAATATATTTATGCAAATCAGGTATCTAATGATCAATCATGTGATCTAGAGTGAGACTACCGTATTTTTCGGTGTATAAGACAAACTTTTTTACCCCAAAATTTGATGTCAAAATCTGTTTGCGTCCTATACACCGAAGGTATGAATAATATATATGTATATATACGATATACACAAGCCATGTGTAAATATATTTAAATAGGCATGCATAGTTTAGTTCAAATGAACGTGTTATTTATAACAACAGTAGTTTTTTTCTTTTAAAAACATAA